TTAAAATTACAACCCCCAGCAGAAACATTGTCCTCTGTACATCTGTCTTCTGGTACACCGACACTAACACTGGTTGTGTTTCCTTCCACAGTCTCGAGTGCCCGCTCAGAGTCCGATTCAGACGCAGGCAGGATCGACGGCCCAGGTGACCCTCACCAAGCCTCCTGTTGTAATGCCGGTGGTCTCATCCGCTGGCGTCACTACGCTGCCAGTCACCGTGGCGGGCATTAGTGTGGCCATCAGTCAGGCCCAGAAAACAGGTGTGTTAAGTCTTTGACTGTGCACATTTTTCATCTGAGCTTATGAAAATTATGGATATGTTTCTGTTATTCTGATTGTGTCGGATGTCTTTTTTGTGACACACTCTTGTCCTAAAGCCTTCCTGAATGTTGTTCTGTCTCCTCTTTGTCAGGTGGGCCTGTGCTGACGCAGTCCTTCCCCCAGATGCAGCTGATTCAGATGAAGCAGCAGGCGGCAGTTCAGGCTGCGCAGCAGAAAGTGGGACAGACCACTGTACAGCAGAAGGTAAACACACGCTTTCTGTTGCTTCAGTGTATTAGTTTAGTAAAAATATTATTAAGATGACACTTTTTTTAAAGTTGTATATAAGAAATACCACTAGATGTTGCACTAGAGCATCTCAGAGCGTTACTGCCTACCAGACTCCATATACAAAACCAGTCATTCTACCTTTGTTATAATCATAAAAGACATTTCAAACTGGACAGAAACAATATAAAACTCACCAAAAACAGTCTTTGTTAGTCTTTCCAACAAACACAAACACTGGTTTCGTGAAAATAAACCCGTAACAAGTGAATCCTTGGGGATAAATGCTTCCAAGTAGATCCACTAACAGTGCTTCTGCCTTTTTTATAACCAGAAACCAAAAACAGTTGTTTTACCATCATCATAACATTGGAACTTCATTCAAAGAATGACAGAAACAGAATAAAACTCATTAAAAGCATCTCTGTTAGTGTTTCCAACAATCACCAACTCTGGTTTGGTGGAAATAAATCCTTAATTCACCGACGTAGATGATAAAAACAGCAGTTTCAGTCGGAGCAGACCGGCTATGGAAACAAACCACAGAGAGGCTGCGATACAACACAGGCAGAGGGAGAGAGACACACCATGTGACTCTGTGTCTTTATATGGAGAATAGCTGTTTTCTGCTGTATTAATGTTTTCAATCTCATATATATTTATAAAACAGCTTTAACTGTAGTTATGTTACTTCCCTTAGATCGGCACCCAGCAGGTGACGGTGCAGGCGGCCCAGCCGGCCCAGCAGCAGCAGAAGGTGACCTACGCTGCCAACCCCCAGCTTCAATCAGGAATCAAGGCCCAGTACATCCATACATCCATGTCTCCAAAAAACAGTGCAACCATGGTACGTCCTCAGTGGCAGTCGACCTTCACTAAAAACAGATCTTTGCTGATGAATATTTGTGTGTTTATGAGATTTACTTCTCCTGTCAGGTGACTAAGCTAGTGCCGCAGCAAACCACCGGGGCCAACATCCAACAGATCGTGTCTTCTCCTCAGCAGGTTGGTGTCTCGGGCTCCTCAACTTCTAGGATCTTCTATCGACGACTGGTTTTTATGAATTCACTTTCTATCAGATGTTCTTAAAATCCTCTCTACAGTCGGTTTCCTACCGTGTGTTTAGAGATATTTCTAGCGGCGCAGCACCTACGCTGCCACCACCCAGCTCCAACCAGGAATCAAGACCCAGTACATCCATACATCCATCTCCCCGGCTCCGCCCGCCGAGCCCCCCCATTAATCAGCATGAGTGAATATTAAATCCTTAATTACCAGTTTGTTTCTGCTCTCCGTATAAACCGAAGTTCTGTTCGGCGCTCCGTCAGGGCCGCTCCCGTTACGGATATGATTTGAATTGTGATATTAAAGATAAGATAATAAAGTTTAATGGAACGTGACTCATCGTGTCTCAGGAGGTTAACTGCAACCTGAAGTGATTATTTACCCTTTTTTTTGTCCAACAATATGCACGTAAAGGCATGAAGTTATAGCAGAGTGCTGCTTTCTGGACAGAACGAGCTCCCGTTTATAATCCCACAGACTCTATCCAGCCTGTTGGAGAGGATTGAGCAGGTACTCGGTACAGATAATGTATCAAACTACTAAAACTCCTCTTCGTCTCACCCACTTCTGCACGATTAGGGACAAATTATCACAGACGGTAGTGTTTTTTATTATAATGCGGGGGTTATTTATCAAGGTTATTACAATACAAACTCATTGTCTCTTAATAAACAAATGCACCAAATCATTGACTAAATTTAAAGTAAACTTTTCCTGTAAACTTGTAAATTAAAAGTTTTGTAAGTAAGTACACAATATTGTTTCAGTTACTTCTTTTTATAAAGTCTAGTTTATTACAGTGAATTACAACAACCTCTGCCGATCTGTCTCACATTCTCGACGAAGCACATTTGACAAAAGAAACGATTGCACGACTCTTGCATAACGTCTGAGTGGCTCATCACTTCGTGGTTAACTGTGTCCCTGCAGACGTCTCACATCTTCAGGCGCAGCTTTTATACTTCAGATTAAACGTTACTGAGGGCTTTTAGCCGTGGAACTGCCTGCCTGAGGGAAAACGGGCTTAGAATTATCATTTTAATTGATCATTTGAACTATACGGCTGCCTTTATGTCACATGTTTTATGCTTTTATCAGCCCCTCCAGTAATTTTCTGGATTTATTGGAGATTGTTGCAGCCTAAAATGATTCAACTGCAATGTTAGTATGCATAACATGCAAAAATAGTCTGCATGGTCTGAATCTTCAACATTAGAAACCATAAAGTGAGTTTGGAGACGTATGGCTCGTTGTTTTTGCCCAGGAAACTACAGCAAAGTTGCAGTTTTTGGACAAAATTTAAGGCTCATGCAGAATTTTGGGGACTGGTTGGATTTGCTGTAGTTGTTGCGTTCGCAGCTTCGTGGTGGGACCGTTTCAGATTCCTGAGTTTGTTAACTCTTTGTAAAACCAGATAAATATGTATTTGCGTGGTCTCTTCAGATGCAGGCCCAGACCGTGACTCTGACCCAGGCCACCACGTCTGCTCCCGCTCAGGTGCAGATGATCCCCGTGGGGACGGCGACCGCCCAGGTGGTCCAGCAGAAGATCATCCAGCAGCAGGTGGTGACCGCGGCCACGTCGCCCCAGATCCAGACGCCTCCTCCCCACAGCCCCGCCCAGCAGCCCGCCGCACCCTCCGCCGCCGAGTCCCCGGGGCAACAGTCCACTCAGCCCCAGCAGCCCACCAAGGGTCAAGCTCGCCAGGGCGGCATCAGGGCCAAAACGCCCGCCAAGCCCAGCGGGGGGAGCAGCTAGGAAGACGCGCACTAATGAAACTGACTCATGATTTTTCCGCAGTACAGTTCAGTGCTGAAGCGTTCTTATGGATCCCAGAGACTCTTCCCATCGATCTGATGTAACACACAACCCTTCCAGTGCTCAGCTGATCGTGGCCCAGAATCCTGGCGGGATCCATAATTTAGCTTTACTGAGTCGACGTCGTTACTTCAACTCTTTATTTGTTGTTTTTGAAATGTGGAATGTTTCTTGAAATTACCACACCAACTTTAAAAAAATATAAAATAATAAAAAATGATCCCCTTCAACTACTGCCCAACACATCAAACGACAGTCATGCCTTCAAAGTGATGATTATAATGTTACTCAACAGAATACGTGAGGCTGAGGCTTGTGGGTAATCCTGCATTGGGAAATGTGCTGTCCATTAGAATAAGTGTATTCATAAATAGTCCCTTTTATGTCTAATTCCCTTTGTTGTCTATAGATACTGAATGGAGAATAATGCACGTTCCTTTAGTCATTTGTTTTTTATTGCCGCAGATACACTGTAAACATGTACTTTAGTATTTTGTGTTTTCTCATAAATTGTCTTTTTTTATTGATGTCAAGAAAAAAAAACTGTAAATATCAATGAAAAACATTTGTACTTGTAAAGTAGTCGTGTTTTCATTGGGTTTTTTCAGCCTAATTGTAATAAAGTGTTTTGTTTTTATACACAAATTCATCTTTTTTCCCTTTTTTTTGTCATTAAATCCGTTGTAAGTACTTTGGGAAATCTTGTGAGTTCTTATAAACGCGTTCGCTGGTTCGTCTCCACGATCCTGTTTTTGTTTTTGTTTTTGCAGCCTTGTCACCGAGTCCTGGAGGAATCTGGACCTGGACACACAAACATCTGACAGTTGCATTTTAAGCATCTTGCCTTTAGGCGGTCTTGAGGAAGGACTGGAACGCCTCCCTCAGCAGTGTCTGCTCTGCCGGGCCAACTGCTGACTCTGGCGAATGTGTATCGGCTGAGCGAGTCGATCTTAAGGAGCGGAGGATTAACCCCCGTAGCCGCCCCCACAACACATTAGGAACATTTGTCTTTCGGGTCCTCGCCCTTTACAAACACACCCTTTAACAGGAAAATTAGAACATCTCTCAAAATGCACTAAATTTACACAGCTTGCTAAACTAAGTGGATCCACAAGGGGGCACTGTTGCACCAGTTTCACACCCTCGCACTCTCTGAAGAAGTCTGGATTTTCCAGCTCATTGAAATTTCCCATCTGCTCCTCGGTTCATACTCTCTCCTCTCTGCTGGCACTCGGTGGCCGGTCCACATTCACCACTAAACGGGTGAGACAAGGGAGGTGAGGTGGAAGAGAGGGCCGAGAGATGAGCAGATGGGCAGAGCTGGTTCCTCTTGGCCCGAATATCACTGCATCCCTTCGCTCAACCTCTTTTAGTTAAACTGTCTTTAGTAAACAGGTCAGTGGACTTTACAGCCAACAGAGTTTTGTTTTCAAATGGAACCAAAATCTGCCATTTTTATCAGTACGGAGAACAAAACAGGTCATTTTTTAATTTTCCATTTATTATGTTCAAAACGGCAACCAGGATTTTTTAATCTTTAATCTAAAAACTAAAAGAAATAATAAGAATAAGCTGTTTCCTGACTACATTTATACATATAGGGAACAAACAACAGGCCTTTTTTTGTTTTTCATTTTCAATGTTTTCTTTCGTTTTCTGTTTATTTTCAATATGAAAGAACGATCTGGTTTCAGTTTTTTTTGTTTTGAAAATAAAAAACGAAGGAAAACGGGCATTTCACAATCCTGACATCATAGCACAAAGACAGCACTGCTTAAAGTCACAAATTGCTTTAATTTCTGGGGTTTTTTTATCTTCAAAACGAGAAAACAGGTCAGTCATTTCCCAATTACGTTTTTCTCATTTCAAAAAATCTGTTGGCCGACCTAACCAGGGGTTATGGATGGAGGATTATTTTTCTTTATTTACTGCAAGACGAGACAAGCTGTAATGATTCTGTACGTTCGTTAGAGCCGCGGGGACGAACAGCTGGCAGACTTCAGAGCACAGGAGCTCTTCATGGTTCAGGGTTAAAGGAGAGCGGATGAATCACCGCTTCAGTTCATACATCTCATCAGCAGTTTCACACCTCCTCTATCTGTGAATGTTTGATGGGAAGACAGAGAGAGAGAGAGAGAGAGGAGAGAGGGAATAAGGACAGGTAATGTAAACACTTGTGCAGCCACTCCACTTGTCCACCTTTTTATTCTTAAAGTTTCCAGCAGATTGGAGGTAGTGCAGCTCTCATACACGAGTGTAAACAGATTTTAAATCAGAGGAGCAACAGCAACCTCTGATCCAAGAACTGAGACGTTTATAGCTCGAAGTTGAACCCCCCCCCGCCCTGTTGCCTATGGCAGCACTTTGGAGTGCAGACTTGTATTTTGATATCTTTATTTCCATTGTAAAAGTCACGCATTAGGAGGGTAAGCGGTGCAGGGTGAGAGCTGCTCAAGCTGTCAAGAGTCGGTTTCATCTTTTCTGCTCAGACGCCAGTCTTCCCCCACCATGTGAGTGTTTACCTCGGGAGGGTCTTTAAAAAGCCTCTGAACGGTGTCAAGCGTGTGAGCCGGGGTTGGGGGGGGGGATGAGTTTTCAACGCTTGTTGTGTTTTTTATCCATTTGCACAGAGCCGTGAACGAGAGCAGAGGAAGGCCATGTGAAAGACAGCCTCTGGAAACATGGGGGGAGGAGGTTAGGCGATTCAACCTGTACAACAGCGGAGAGATCAACACGGCGAGAGAGGGGGGGGGTGGGCTCTGTTGTTGCCTGAGAGACGAGCAGGGCTGAAGGCAACAAGATGCACGCCACGGGGGGAAAGAAAACAAGCATCCAGGTACAAAGGAGGCCGGTGAGGTTTGTCTCATCGGGGCCAAACCCTCCCGTCTATCACTCTCTCTCTAATGTCCTCGCCAGCCGCTGATCACACAGAGGGGTTGGTGGTGGTTGGGGGGGCTCCCTGCTAATGATGCTGATGATCACCGCTATTGGGATAAAAAAAAAAAAAAGAAACAGGCCATCTATACTGAAAGGTTTCCATGGCAACCCACTGCGACCCCCCCCCATCCTTTACTGCAAATCACGGGGCTGGTGGAACAATGGTTCATGTAGCACACACACACACACACTGCCAAATACAGCTCTTCAGTTTCCCTTTTAAAACCTACAACAAGGACAACAAGGCTAAATTTAATACCTGATGCCACTAAATGAGCAGCGTGTGAACTCTGGTTGCAAAGACACATTGGTGGGGCGGTTTGCTTTGTGTTAGCACATGTGATGTTTATAAGAGCGCGGAGGGGAAACGGTAGTGTAAAGAGCAGGAAAAGAGATCTAAAAATATACAATAAAATGACAATATGATGAAAAAAATATCATAGAAATCTAGAATATGATCAACATATACACTATAAAGATGTTTAATAACTGTACAATAGCAGGTAAATGGTTGACAGTCTCAATAATAATCAGTTAATGGCATACATGCATCAATAATACACATTTTACACATAATAAAGATACAGAAAGATAGAAATGAAAGGCAAAAACCAGCATATTGTCTGTATTTTAATGTTAGTATTGTCAGAAATCATGTTTACTTCGCAGCCTGTGCTGTATATGACCTGAAGATGGGTGACAAATTAACAATAAAACCAACTAAAAGTGTCAAGGTGTTGGGTCGGGATGTTAGCTGACATTATTTCCTCTCCACAGGGGCGCCGCCAGAATCATCATACAAAAATGAAAGCTCCTCGTTGCAGCTTTAAATAAATGACTTGCACTGAATACACAGTTAATTAGCCGTAGGAGCCCTTAATCAACCCTCAGTCAAATGTTCAGTGCAACAGACACCTTCCAGGTTAGAAAATGTCCCCCCCCACCCATTAATGAGGCGACTTTGCTCCCCCTAAGTCCTTCCCCATGTGGTCCTTAAGCCTCTCTCAAGCAGCGGTGAGGCTCCTGAGGCGAATACAGGACAGGCCTTTTACTCTAAATGATGAGTCACAGGTCTGCTGGCTGATTTCACCCAATTGCTGGGGGATGATGGTTGTGAAGGGGTGGCGGCGGGAAGGGTGTTGCACGGTAGGCGGAGGGGGTAGGTGGTGGGTGGGTGGGTGTGTGTGTGTGTGTGGGGGGGGGCAGTGGTAATTGCTCTGCATGCAAGATGGGGTGAGAGCACCGGAGCTGACACGCTCCACTTCCCTCGACATAGTGATAGGAAGTGTCATTCGGCACTTTGAAAACGTACCACTGAGATCTACAGTGTAAGTCTGCCACTCTCGGCTCCAACCTCCCACTCATTCTCTCTGAATCTCCCTCACCCCCTCTCTCTCTCTCTCTCTCTCTCTCTCTCTCTCGTCTGTCTTCCCCGCTCGCCTCGTCCTCTCCCTTTCTGTCAGCTCACTTTTCGCTCGGCTGCTCTCATCTTCCACGCAAACGTCTTGTGGTATGACAGTCATGTAAGCGAGTGTGGCTGTGAACCTCAAAGAGGTGGTGGGGGGGGTGGGGGGTTATCTCAGGTCTTCTCTCTCGGTCTTGGCCGATAACCTTGGCTGGTAACCTCGCTCAGGGGTGGAGATGGGGAGGGGGTGGCTTCTGGGGCTCCGGCCCCGAATGTTTTCTCAAATAAAAAACCCTGAAAATTAGACTTAAGTTTTGTGTCATCAGTCACCAACATGAATGGAGCAAAAGTTCCTAAAAGTAGCTAGACAAGACATTGTATTACTATGCTTGTGCTAACTTGCAAGACAAGATATAGTATTACTGTGTTAGCACTAAGTAGCTAGACAGAATAAGGTATTAGTGGAGAGGAAAAGGTATTACTGTGCTAATTAAAATAAATGTATCATAGGTTAAACCTTACAAAATAACACTTAAATTCTTAATTGCCAGGTCATTATTATGTGATACTTATTCAGTATTTTGATAAGTTTCTCATTATAATGACTTGAGAATCTTTTGCTCCCCTAAGCCCCGAATGTGTACAGCGTCTGGCTCCGCCCTCACATGGTCTCCTCTTCCTGTCCTGTCTGAGCTTCAGAGATGTTTAGATGCTCTTTACTGAGGTTTGGGAAGAAAGCCAAGTCTCCCAACCTGAACTCCTCGGTTATAGTTTCCCCTTTCCAGGTGCATGCCAAATTCAGTCATCCACTGTAATTAAATGTATCCACTATCCTCGCTTGGAGCATGAATCATAATCTTCTCCTCAGTACTCGTGATGTGTTACAGTCTGAGGCTGTCAGTTCTTGTGATGTAGTGTTAAGAGTTTTATGAATAATGACCCGAAAGTGCCAAACAGCCACAAATACTGAGAATGTCTCCCAGTTTTTCCATGACACTACATGCGTATCAAAGGAATAAGTATGAACTAGTTTATTAAGGATCTATCATTATGAGTGCATCACAGCACAGGTGAAAGTCACAAATTACCTTTTTAATGGCATCAGACCAAGAACATGTCTCTGTACTTATCTTGTTGGAGCGGTGCATTCGACACCATCACATCCTATTATGGAGACTTGAACATCTAATTGGCATTAAAGGAACCGCGCTAAGCTGGTTTAAATCCTGTTCATCAGATTGATCCCAGTTTGTACAATGAATCCTCCAGTGCACGCCAAAGTTAGCCGCGGAGTTCCGCAAGGTTCTGTGCTTGGACCAGTTGTTTTCACCTTGTTTCCTTTAGGCAACATTAGCAGGAATCACTATATTGTTCATTGTTATGCAGATGATACCCAATTATATCTGTCAATGAAACCAATCACTTAGCTAAAGTTGTAGCTAGCTGGCCGTGCTGGTAAAAGTCGGAGGATCACCAAATTCAGTAGGGTTCATCCTCTGGGGGCCATGAATGTCTGTACAAATTTCCATTGTAATCCATCCAGTAAGTGTTGAGATATTTCAGTCTAGAAGTTGATGGACCAACAGATCGATCAGATCAACAGCTATCCAATTTTTAGCCAAACCTCTAGCATGTAGGATCGATACTTTGATACTCATTTGGTATTGATTCCTTTAAGAACAAAATAAATAAATGGTTGCATCACTTTGTGTTTGTGCCAATAAACAGCCCTGATATTTACCTGTCCAATGTCACATGACTGTGGAACTGTGGTGCTGCTCTTCACCTGGAGATTAAAGTACAGCAAGATTTCTGTCAAATACTGGACTATTTTTTACCCTAATTAACACAAACATTTTAATTTAACTTTAAATGTAATGGTGGTTTCAAGGGTCCAATCTAAACAAGGAGAAGCAGCTTTTAGTAACTATGCAGCACAGCGCCGGGAACAACTGCCTGATGGTCTGAGGGTGAGTTACACTGGTAACGAGTCACCTGCAAAACCATTGTTTGTTATAAAGAAATGTCGCAACCATTACAGTTTTTAAATCCAGAATCCAGAATCAGAAATACTTTCTTGATCCCCGGGGGAAATTTGTTTAAACTCTGCTCTTCTCAAGCACTTTTACCTAAATGTTTTGAAACTCCAAGGTTATTATTGTTATTGTGCTTTTATTTGTTTATTTTTATTCTCTTTCTTAATTGTATCTCTTTTTATAATTGAAGTAACTTTTTATACAATTCTCTGTCTGTATTATGTATTTTTATCATTTTTAACAATCATACAGACATAATAGGCTCCTATTCAATGTTTTCTTGTCCCTGAATCTTGTTCTATTCCACAATTTACTTTTCTGTGTATATTGTTAAAAGTTTTCTTACACCCCTTAAAGTCAATAAAGGCCCTGGCGACCCCTCATGAAGCTTTAGTGACCCCCAGGTTGGGAACCACTGTTGTACAGCACCTTGAATCTACCTTTGTCTAGCGTAGTAATAAAGCAGAAATGTGTGTCAAGTGATTTGCCTTGAAGTATAATGATCTGTTTCTTTCTAAAAGTGACCATTATTTTGAAAAACCACACACCTATTCAACAATTAATTAGTAACAGTATTGTTAAAACTGTAAATAAAAAGTATTGTATCATATAAACAGACATTAAAACTAAAATCAGAGATCATCAAATGTGTCTTTTTCTTCTTCTAATGTGTAAAACCACCCAACTCACAGCACAGGGCCTAGTGGTCTAATGAGGGGCCAGATAGCATACAGACTGGTGTTTAGGGGGATGGGTGAGTGTTAGGGGGGGAAGAGAAGATGTAAAAAACATGGAGGACCCCCCACTCCTGCACACACACACACACACACACACACACACACACACACACACACACACACCCCTTCCATCTTTCCACTAAGCCCCCACCCCCTAAACAAACTCACACACATGCTGAAAGATGAATGTCCAACAAATGGAGGCAAGAGGTGAGTGAGGGCCCCGTGTGAGAGGAGTATTGTGCAGCCGGGGGCCTCCACCACCCCCCACTCGGAGGCCAGTAATCAAGGGGGCCCAGTCGGCGGGGCCAGTGGGTTCGGGGCTGGCGGCTGAGGAGGGGGCAGTTGCTGTCTCACTAGGATGTTATTTATTGGCCTACTTTGAATCTCCTGCTGCCTCCTGCACTCCCTGTCACTCCCATTGATCTTGTCCTGATCCGCCCCCACGGATGGCTCTGCAGATTCTTCCTCCACCACCTCCTCCTCCTCCTCCTCCTCTCATGATGTACATCGTGTAAAAAGCCTTCTGCTCCTGGCGTGATGTCCAGAGGGAGTTGAGGAAGTGCTTTAGCCTCACTTTAGCTCATTTGACTACAGGCAATGTATATGTTTAGGGTTATTAAAGGTGAGTCATTGTTTACATACCATGCATTGCCTCTGGCTTCGTCATGGGATCAGCTGCATTTGCTCTGCACAAGAAGTATGTGTTGTGGGTCAGATTATGTCGGGCTGGATTACACTGTGGGAAAAAAAATGCAGAAATATGGGGTAACCTAGGGGTTTAAGGAGGCTGCAGGAATTCCCCATTTATCTCTGTCCCTTCCTGTCATTAATTATTTAAAAAACCTTAAAATATACATGCAAACATTGTGTGTATATAAGCAACCTACCACTTTCTCCAAAACGGAAGACACAAAACCTGCAGTTCCTCTAACAGCCACTAGAGGCTGGCTCCAGCAGTGAGTCAATCTCCATAAAGCCTCATATTAAAAAGCACGACTTTACAGCAGAAACAAACACGTTTACAGCCTGGTATAAAAACAGTTTTGGTCTATAAAGCTAATTTCCTCGTTCATGACAACTGTACAGGGGGTGAATGTTTATATAACTCACCGGTTTAAATTATATTAAGTCTTAAAGTTATGCACAAATCTATTGAAACGATTTTAAGGAGAGAAATAGTCGACGCAGTAACAGAATCTGGATCCATATCTGATCAGCACTGATTTGCTTAAAGTTTACCACTTTCACTAGCTCTATCCTCTGGGGACAATGAATGTAATTACAGGTAAATTATTAATTATAATAGGAAACTCATATCACGTTTTATTCCAATAATTCAATTATAGCCAAAAAACTTATTTTTGTGCAAAACATTGGATAGTATTTATGTTTGTGAAGTTTTTTTAAAGTACTTTACTAGAAAAAAACTGTTTTTTTGTTGTAAACAATAGTGACGTCAGTTATATCTGGTTAAATCAGTGATATGGATTATTATTGTTATTAATTTTATTATCATCTATCTTTGCTCACTCTTTCTGACCCTCAGGTGTGTAAAAACTACAGGCTGTGAACTTATCGGTATGCATAAGAGACAGGTAATTATCGGTTATTGTATCAGCTGGAAAAAAATCCATATTGTGACCAACTGATTGATTAAATGTTGCTCCCAGTTATGCTGCTAGTGTGGCTAAAAAACACACTCAAAGACTACAATCGAGCATCATTGACAATATACAACTTAAAGTACAACATGTCACATTAAAAAACATCAAAAAAGAATTTAAAAAGAGACGGAAAAAAACAGAGATACAAGAAAAACAACAAGAAAGAAATAAAATGTTTGTGATAAATGGCTGCACAACCAGTCGCACACCAAGTCCTGCATTTAAAATAAATCTGTGTGCTCTGTAAAACCAAATAAATCACATTAATCTTCCAAAGAAGAGATAGAATTAACAAAGGTAAGGTAAGGATCCCAAGTTATCGGCGCAGCCCTCTAATGCGGTGCTTAATTTTCTCTAAGAATAGAGAAGACATTAAGTCTTTAAGCCAAGAATGTGGAGATGGAGGCTTTCGATCCTTCCGGTGAAGTAAAATACGCCCGCGGGCTACAAGAGAGGCGAAAACGGTAATATTTTCTCTCCTTGAAGAGTGAAGCAGGTAAAAATCTTCAGGGACACCAAAAAATAGAGGTCATAGGACTAGAAATCAGCCGTCTGTTGAGAGCGAATCACAGAAAGGAGAGGACAGGAGAAAAACATGTGTGACTGGCAGGTATAAATCATATATATTATATATAAAGGGTTGCTGCAGCCACACACTGAGCACATGGCTGTAACTCTTTTTTATTTGTTTGTGCTCAACAAATAACGGCTTTCATAATACAGCAGGTAGTTTTCTATTTGGGGTAACATTATTCGGTTCATTCATTTATGAACTGAGAATTGGACTGTACCATGTTCACCTGCAACATGGGGGGAGGTAGTGTTTTATAGTGTGAGTTTTGTTGTTATTTCTTTGACAATTATGTTTTTTGATATTAGTGTTTTTTATAATTTTTCCTTAGTTAATATTAGGCAGCGTTAACTCAACATTATTTGTGGTTATTGTAGTTTTTTTAAACGTTATGTTTTAGTCTAATGTGTAGTGTTTTAGTGATCAGCCACTATAGAGGTTTCCCTAAATGTCTCAGTTTGTAAGGTTGGGAAGCAAAAAGAGGGCTTATAGATTGCTTAATAAACAGGATTGGTTTGTAAAATATTGTTTTTTTTGTTTGTTTGTTTGTGTATTTATTTATTATTGACTTATCTACACTTTAGTAGATTGGTTCTACATACTCCGGTGCTGTAGGTGGCGGTATGCACCTGTAAATTGAGATTGCAATCTGACAAAAGACACAAAGAAGGAGCACAAATTAAAAAGCTGAACATGTGAACCTTAATTACTCCATCCTGCACACAAACATAAATCCAGGTAGCTTTCCTCGGTGCGGTTCATCCTCTTCTAGCGGAGCGTTCCTGGTACGTGATAGATCTTTTTTTGCGGAATGCCGGGCAACGCCTGGAATGTCCCAACCATGATAGGAAACATGTGTGTGAGATGAGGAGGTTGGTCGGTGGGAGATAATGGAGTTCACCGTCACATGTAGGGCCCGGAGGGGGAGGGTGTGGGAGGTAGGGGGAGGGAGGGAGCTCCAGTCAGACATCTCAGGTGCAACACATGGATCATACAAGTCAGCTGCCTTCGCTCCATAAACCACCCCCCCCCCCCAAAAAAAACAGTGTAAATGTCACAGGGTTTGTGAGGGGCCTCACTTACCCTGACATACAGTACACACACACACACACACACACACACACACACACACTTCCAGCCTCAAATACAATATTGGGTCTGAGTAATGCAGAGGAACAGGGGTCATTAATCTGAGTGTTGTTATTCTGGTCTAATCACATCAACCCCCCCCGGGCAGCTACCAGCCTGAGGATTCAGACACATAAACAGACTATCTAGTAACATACCTGCTCCTGAATACCTGAAAGACTCCAACAGAGATTAGCACCTTTAGCCACGCTAGCACCGCGACTCGAGGGGTGACATATCATCAGCCATTTTGGTTCAGTTTCCATCTGTCGGATGGGTTGCCAAATATCCCCAGATTATGGACCCTAATGAGTTTGGTGATGCCCTGATTTTGCTCTAGCATATCTCAAAATCTACTGCATGGACTGGTACATTTTGGGTGCACATTCATGGTTCTTGGTGACTCTTCCTCTAGCGCCAGGTCGCCAATAATGCATCAATTAAAATGTGCGTCCTTCGTCCTGAACTGGCACCTTTTCCTCTATATTTAGTCCAGCTAGTCTTGAGCCTCTCTGGATCGGCTAGCTTTGGACTCCAGAAAAGAAAATGTCTTAAGAGGAATATAAATAATTTAATAGTTAGCTGGCTTACCGACAAGACAAGAAATTAGTAAAAGTGTGTGAGCCCTGCTTTTTAAACTGTCTTTAATGTGGTAAACATGCTCATGCTCCCCCTACGATGAACTGAAATAAGGTTTAAGACCGAATACCAGCTGAACTGCGCTGATTATCAAATGTTAGCATGTTAGCACACTAAACTAAAGCTGTAATGTACTCGGGGAAGAAACCCATCTTACCCCAATATGGCGACAGTGAGACGGACATTTGTACTTTAGAGTGAAACCTGTTCCCCACCTGGAGCTCACACTCGTGTAACTACAACTTTAAATTCCCGCGTGCTACTTTATATTCAAATCGATATTGACTCACTCCACTGCGGAGGCCTTTTGGGTGGTGGTGGTGGTGGTGGTGGGGGGGGTTGTTTGACTGTATGTTTCTATGCATGGTAGTTGATCCATAATGTCCTCGATCACCCGTGGCTGTTTGCAGAGGCTCACACTGCTACGTGCGGGAGCCGGGCCGCGGTTTTGCCCACAGCTTCCAGCCTGCAAGCATGTCGATAACGAGCAGCAGCCTCTCTGACAGAATCGTTTACTGCCTGCGGGGCACGGAGACGAAAGCGGGAGCGTGCATGCCTGCCTCTAACCTACTTAAGCCTCACACTGCACAAATGGAAGTGTTGATATGCAACATGAGATGTCCTGGTGGATTCCTGCCTGCAAGTGGACTGACCAGAATAAATGTGTGAGATTAATGCCAGAGGAAGTGCTGATGGTGTGTGTGTGTGTGTGTGTGTGTGTGTGTGTGTGTGTGTTTTATATGCTTTATTAATTGATTATGTACAGTAGCATGTGTGTGTTTTATTGGAAATTATGCATTCTGATGGGTTTTTTTAAGGCTGGAATAGCGGTTAAACTGAGTCTTCGTCCACAGCGGGTGTACAAATGTGCAGGTATGAGAAAGAAAAACAGGTTTTCTGTGAGAGTGAATACTCCCTGGTTTGTGTGTGTGTGTGTGTGTGTATGTGTGCAGCTCCTGCTGTCAGCTGAGGAGCTATAGCATAGTTTCAGCGACTCAAGTTGGCTCCTTAATTCTATTTGCCTCTCAGGGGAACCTCCCCTCCTTCCCCCCCAATCCCCGAAACGTCTCACACACACATTTTGAGAGAGCTTTGTTGGGGCGTGTAGGGGGAGGATGGGGGGTCCCGGCTCCCACTGAGTCTGGACAAGACACATAAATCACACACACACACACACACACATGCACAAGTACTGCTATGTCATGAGGCGGTGGGGTCCAGTATCTGGGCCTTGGGGTGGTTTTTTTGGGGGGGGGCAGACAGACGAAGAAGGAAGAGGAAGAGTAGGGGGAGGGGTGACTTACTAGTGTGACTTATTAGAGCTCTTAAACTCTTTATTATTATTAGGGCCCTTTTCTATGTTCTCCCTGCATCCAGGTGAAGTTCCCTCTCACAGTCCAACGTAAGTCACATCAGCGCCTTTAACGATACGTTGTTATTATTAATAATTTATTATTTATTAAAAGGCCTTCTTCAAGCAAATAATCAGTGTATTCCCTCTTCTAGGATTTTAAAATGTGATGGATTTGCTGCTTTTATCTGGTTTATATGATTGGAAACTAATTTTTTTAATTTTCATGATTGAGTTTTTCATTGACACTTTATGGACAAAAACTGATTAATCAATAACAAAAATAATCATTATTCGCAGAACAAGCATATAAATATAGATGATGATCTATGCTGAGGGGTTATTATCATCATACATAGACTAATTCAGCTAATAAAACCATC